GAATCTGGGCAACTGAATGGAGCTGAGTGTTTACTGGCCGGATGCCCTTCCTGTCACCAATGCGGAGTTGTTGTTTTTTCAGCAGATATATTCTCATTGTGCCCAGAGAGAGAAATATCTGCCTTTACCTAGGATCGAACTCACAGCCTCCTGATTGTGAGGTGAGAGCTGAACTTCTAGGCCAGTGCACCAATTAGGTATCTAAATGTATAGCCACCTAAAATGATCAGAGGTTAAGGAACCCTTTTATGAGGAAGGGGTATATATAAGTTGGGGTATATGCTTGGAATGAGGGGAGATGGAGATGATGATGATGATATGTACTATAATTCCTGGAGACTTTTTTTTTATCATGCTGTTATTTTCATTACATGTTTTTTTTTCTACTTCCCAGTATAACCTGTGTAACCTAGTGTAACATATAAAGAATGGTTGCTGGAATTGGATATGTCTAGTTTAATGAAACGAAGGACTAAGGGTGACATGATAGCAGTCTTCCGATATCTGAGGGGCTGCCACAAAGAAGAGGGAGTCAAGCTATTCTCCAAAGCACCAGAAGGCCGGACAAGAAACAATGGATGGAAGCTAATCAAGAAAAGAGCCAACCTTGAAGTAAGGAGGAATTTCTTGACAGAACAATTGCCCCCAGAAGTTGTGAACACTGGAAGTTTTTAAGAAGAGATTGGACATCCATTTATCTGAAAATGGTACAGCATCTCCTGCTTGAACAGAGGTTGGACTAGAAGACCTCCAAGATCCCTTGCAGCTCTGTTATTCGATTACTCTGTTAACTTCCAGTTCTATGATTTCTTGGTAGTTTTTCTCAGCCAAGCACTTAGGTTTTTTTTTATACAGAACTTTATTTTATTGTCAAGAAAAAATGTTTAATTATTCAATAGATTTTCTTGCCCAGAGTACATGTTGTCTTAAAATAGTATAATAAAACAATGCTTTAGTCTTCGAGTGCTTCTTTATCTAAAAGGTATGCTGTTTTCAAAATCTCATTATTCCACTGTGTTTAAGTAGAAGTCAATAAAAAATTGTGAAACTACATTCAAATCAGTTTATTTTCTCAGTCCCAGACCATACACAAGAAAAAGACTAGCAATATAATAAATTAAAAAGAATAAAAAACATGAGAAAACTCTAAAACGGTTAACAATAGGAAAGAAGGAATCAGAAACCCTGTAACAATTGTAGCTATTGATAAAATTTTTGCAACTTTCTTAGAGGTTTCGGAAGAGTCATTTGCCCTCGCATCAATAACTTTGCTAAGCAATTTGAACCTGGCTCTCAGCATTCTCCAACACACCTGTCATTAAATGTCCTACAACAGATTTACTAAGGGGTAATAGCCATTGAACACAGTGGAACTTAAAATAATGCTCAGAGAATGACTCCTCACATAGCAATGAAAAATAATCCATTTAATGCACAAATAGTCTTTACTTCTCGATTGTTGCTCCTGATTTTTGGCTTGTGTTTGCTTCATGTTTGCTAAGATTACACAGAACCATTTATAAGGTTGTCTTCAACTTGATCTGAAATTGGGCAAAGTTTAAGGAGTCCCAACAACAAGCACCTATTGCTACTTTTCAATAAACTACATGAAAACATTAGACGATGTACAATGCAGCTGGATAACAGAATAACAGAGTTGGCAGGGACCTTGGAGGTCTTCTAGTCCAACCCCTTTGCTCAGGCAGAAAACCCTATTTCAGAGCAATGGTAGTCCAATTTCTTCTTAAAATCCTCCAGTGTTGGAGCACCTACAACTTCTGGAGACAACTTGCATTCCACTTATTAATTGTTCTATCTCTCCCTATTCTAATCTAACTAAGGCAGTAAAACAAGCATTCATTTTAGGCCACTTTTTTCAATGTAATTAGCAATGCTTATAAAACACTTCATTTCCTTCTTTGCAATTTTTGGAGGCCACCTGGACAAATTCCTGCAGTTTTCTTGGCAAGGTTTTTTTCCCCAGATGTGGTTTGTCATTGCTTCCTTCCAAAGCAGGCTGGGGCATGCTGTGAGTTGAAGTCTACCCATCTTAAAGTGGCCAAGGTTGAGAAACACTGCACTGAACTATGTTCCAATGGAACATAGTTGAGTGGAAAAACCCAGCCACTAAAAAGCAGCCAAAACATGGAGGAAAAACTACGTTACCTCATCTTAGTCGCAACGTTTGTGGACAGACTGAAAAGCTTGGATACTGGTTGCAGGATTTGGGTATTCTGCAACCAGTATCCAGGTTCTGGTTGGGGATTTGGGTATCCACAGCATTTCTCTTATGCACTAATTTAGTCACTTTCTCAAAGAAGGCATTAAGGTTTGTCTGGCATGATCTGTTTTTGCCAAACCCAGGTTTGGCTTCTAGTAATTGTCTTATTCGTCTCCAGATGCTTACCGTTGCACTGCTTGGTTATCTTTTCCAGGATCTCCCCAGGTATTGATTTCAGGCTGATCGGTCAGTAGTTTCTTTGATCCTCATTTCCCCCCCTTTGTGTAGATTGGAACCACATCAGCTCTTTTCCAGTCCCCTGGCCAACCCCCCCCCCCCCCCCCCCATGCTCCAGCAGTTCTGAACTATCTGTTCAAGTGGTTTTTCAAGATCACCTCTGCCAGCTTCTTCAAAACTCTGGAGTGCATCCATCTGGCCCTGGTGACTTGAACTTGTCTAGAGTGATTAGAATTAAAAACAGATCAACTCAGATGATGAGACTTTGGAAAAAGTTCAGAGAAGAGCAACTAAGAGGATGAAAGGCCTGGAGACTAAACCATATGAAGAACGGCTGCAGGATTTGGGTTTGGCTAGTCTAAAGAAAAGAAGAATTAGGGGTAACAGGATAGCATTTGAGGGACTGCCTCAAAGAAGAGCAGGTCAGCCTATTTTCCAAAGCCCCTGAAGGCAGGACAAGAAACAAGGGATGGAAACTAATCAAAGAGAGAAGCAATCTGGAATTAAGGAGAAACTTCTTGACAGTAAGGACAATCAACCAGTGGAACAGCTTTGCCTTCAAAAGTTGTGGGGGCTCCATCACTGGAGGTTTTTAAGAAGAGACTGGACAGCTACTTGTCTGAAATGTTATAGGTTCTCCTGCTTGAGCAGGGGGCTGGACTAGAAGACCTCCAAGGTCCCTGCCCTGTCCAAGCCACAGTATGCTTGTTCTCAACGTTAATGATCACCACTGTTTGCTATCCAAATTTTTGCAACCCGCATAGGGTTGCTCTTGTATTCTTAGGGGAGCACCATCGTTGTTTCTGGTTGTCCCAGGTTTAGGGTTTGGCACGCTGTGCGAACCCACCGAACTTCCTTCCACAAAAGTTCTAAACTCGAATTTCTGGAGAGCCAGCAAGGATGGCGAATCGTATTTCCCGCAAAGGCTGAGCCATTCTTTAAAATCGCGTCCGGTAGGGGGCGCCGCAACTGCCCGTGGACCACTTCAGGAGTCGCGGGGAGAAAGGAGAAGGCGCGCCTGCGCGATGCCAATCCAGCGTTTCGGATTGGCGCGCCTGCGCACGGAGAGGCACGCTGCTGCTTTTTTTTTTTTTTTCCCGCCCTCCGCCAATTGCGACGAGAAGAGTTGGCGCTCTGAGGCGGTTTATCGGTTCGCGTGTCCCTTGGCTTCTTTTTTAAAAGGGAACTGTTTAAAAATAAAATGTTTTCTTTACGCACGTTATTCACCCCCCCCATATTTCTCATTGTTAGAAAAGCTGCAAACATAAATAAGATACCGAGCCTTTTTCTTTTTGTAACTCTGGGAATTGGACAAGTACGTCCATGTTTTGTGAGCGGGAAATGGCGGTACTCGCCATCCTTCGGCCCACAGGCGATAATGGTTCTCAAGAACATCTCAGGCCAATGGTGGCTTGTGGCCTCCTTTCCAACTTTTGGGAAACAATTCCCAAATTCCCCGCTGTCCTTGGCGAGGCAGGCTGGGGATTGTGGGTGCTGTAGTCCTTACACTTGTGAGGATGCGCTAAATTAAAGTAACGCACTACGTCACACTTGCCACACTGGCCGTTTTACATTTACTACATTTGAGTTCTGTTACACCATAACTCAAATATTGTAAATGTAAAAATATATAGACAGAACTCTATAGAAAAGAGCTTCCTCATAAAGCCCCACAATTTTGCATGACAAGGATGCCTCTTTCTTATTATGCTGCTTTTTTTCTATACGGATCAATTTTCAATAGTAGCCTACAAATAGAAAGAATTTAAAAACCAACCAACCGCAATAAGAACCAACTTTCCAACCATTGGCGCACCATTTGTATCTCTGTTTATGCCAAGCCGAAAGAGAATAGTACAAGAATTAAAACTATCAAGCATGGCAATAAAAAATTTAAAAATAAAATCAATATAATTCAAAGGGTTTTGTTCTCGTGAGGGATTTACCTCAATCTCCAAGAGATTTCTCCTTCAAAGTACAAGAGTAAAGCATAACTGCATTTAAAAATATATATTTCAAATGTATACCACACACTTTTCTATTTTTTAACAGCAACAATCGTACTAAGTCATTTGCCCTTAGCACCATGTGTTGTCTGAACTTCGTATGAGTGTGATAGGTAAACTATGATTTGTGGGACAGAATTGATTCACTTATATGTCCAACTAAGTCTTGTTTGAGCCATGTAAATAGTTTGCTTCAATTAATATGCAAAGCCATACATCATGTACAAATCATGTAAATGTGCTAACTCAAAATGAATTAAGTCATGGACTAGATCACTATGTCTTCTTCAACAACCCATCGTTAAAACAATTCATGAAATATACAACTATAAATCCTTTTATTAGAAGCCCGAATTGTGTTTTCTTCCTCAGCCCATGCAGTTCCATATATCTAATCTTAATATCTATCCGTGTCCAGCGTTGTTCCTAAAAACAAGAGTTTTAGGAATACTTAAATACATTAAATAATATAAATAACTGAACCTGTTTTTAAAAGGACATTCTGACTTACCTTTCTCTAATTTCAGGTAAAAAGAATGGCATATTCCATTTCATCACAAAATATCGTAACTATTTCAGATCTGCACCCGAGCCTTGTTCATCCTGTAGGTCTAAGTACCAAAACAATATTTTGTTCGCTGATGAAACTGTATATAAGTGTATTCTGTTATAACAATATGTAATTGGTTTATCTTCATGTGCTCATAGCATTGGCAGAATTATTAGACACAAAATATTCCTGTGTCTCATGTACTGAAACTGAAAACTGATATTTCTGGCAAAAGAGAATGGATATTACAATCAACTAGGATGATTGGACTAAGTTAAATTATGCAGTTTTATGGAAGGATGGCTGGGTTTGCTTTCCATGTTTGACCCCCATCCTTGGTTAATAAAAATGCAATTAATACATATTTGAAATAAATTATAAAATGGTTAAACGTGATAGCCTGCTTGTGCCTGAGTTTTCAAAACATCAAAAAAAAATCTATGCCATTTTAGACAGTGAATGTTTTTTATTTTATTTTATTTTATTTTATTTATTTTGTCAAGCAATTATAAGATAACAGATATAAGTATAAACATAGTTATGGATACATGAAATGGATACATATAAGAAAAATAAGAAACAATAGGACAGGGACGGTAGGCACATTGGTAGGCACGGCCCCTACAGACCTCTTAGAAAAGGGGTGAGGTCAATAGTAGACAGTCTAAGGTTAAAGTTTTTGGGGTTTGGGGAAGAAACCACAGAATGTCAGTTATGACCTTTCTCAAATCAGTCAGTTTAGCCACCTCAGCAAGTTTTGTCAGTTTCACCAACCCTCCATACTGGGTAATGTCAAAACTTTCCATATGTATGCATATAAGAGTCTTGCTGCAATAATCATAGATTGAGATAATTTTCCATGACTGTTTTCTAATTGTATCCACCAGCTTCACATTTGAAGTACATTCTAGATTTCTCTGGCATCATATACCAACAATACTTCATTTCATAAAAATTATCTTTAAGATCAAAATATAAATTTCAATTCTATTGACCACATATTTTCCTATTGAGCCATCTGTATATTATAAGCAAAATTCTTAGCACATTTTAACCTGTTGTTCCATTTTAAATTTCAATAAAAGTTCATATATTTTAGTAATCACATGTTCCTAATCAGCATTCAATTGCATTTCAAATTATGTCTTACTTTGCTTTGTACCATAAGTCTTTTAATCCATTTTAAATCTTTCTAATAACTGTAAATGGAAAAACCATTGACAACTATATCCTGCCATTAATTGCTATCTTGACTTAATTTTATACTTTCTACAATGATTCTGGTGTATTAACCATTTGCTTTTGCCTTTTGTTTCTCTTCTGTGAAATGTATTTTTGAGCACAGCCTGAATTTATATCTATTCCATATTCTCAGTGTGGCACTAAACCTAATAAAATGGTTTTTAAAATCCATTTAATAATGCCCAAATATTTTACTTTTTTCTCAATCTTAAAATGTTTTTTCCAACAGTTCTATCTGAATTTACTAGTAAGTCTATTTAATTTTCCCATTAATGTCTCTAATAAATCTTCCAAACGCTACAGCTAGGTCTTTGGCAAATGCCCTTACAAGTTTATTTTGTTAATTTTTATTCCCACTGTTCTCTCATTTTATCACTCTGTTCTGTTACCTGAATAACTAAAGTGAACAAGAATGGAGACAGCAAGCAATTTTTGTCTTCTCCTTTTTTGAATCTCACAAAGGTTTTTTTTGTTAATTCTCCATTAACAATTATTTGGGCTTTTTATGAGGTGAAAATCAATCTTATGTATTTAATAAAAAATCTCCAACATCCATACCTTCCTGAACTCTAAAGAAGAAAATTCAATTCAAATTATCAAAAGTCTTAGTTAATCTAAAAAAAATCAGTGCAATTTGGTTTTCATTATGTTGATCCAAATATTCAATACATCCAATATTCAATATATTTCTAATATTGTCTTGTAATTTTCCTTTAGGTTACAGCTCACGTTGATCTTCATGAATAAAGTCCTATAAAATTATTTTCAATCATTCATCCAAAATCATTGTAAACAACTTATAGTCATGATTCAATAAAGATACTGGGTGATAATTTCTTATTAAAGTCAGGTCGTGGGATTCTTTATGTATGAATCCTATATTTGCTTTCCAAGTGTCAGGAATCTTTCCATTCTGTAAAATAGACATCCATTATTTGTTGTTAAGGTTGCAAAATTTAATCCTCAAAACCTAATAAGTCGGCAGACCATCTGGCGCAGGTGCCTTTCTGGTTTTAGTCTTTTTAATAAGTTTACAAACTTCTCTTATTCTTACAGGTACATTCAAAATTACTGATTCTCTGTAATCTTTGGTAAATTATGTTTATATAAATAATAATTTTTCCAAATAAATTTCTGGACTCTTATATGAAGAATAATACTGTAATGGTGAAACACTTTTTGCATTTGCATTTTGTATTTGCATTATCTCTTATTATGTTTCTTTCTTGTAACATTAGTATCACTTTCTTTTGTTTTTCTTTGTGCCCTATGTCAAGGTAGTGAGCATACCTAATACTCCTTCCTTTTCATATTTTCCCTACAACAACAACCCTGTGAAGTGAGTTGGGCTGAGAGAGAGTTACTGGCCCAAAGTCACCTAGCTGACTTTCATGCCTAAGGTGAAACTAGAATTCATAGTTTCCTGGTTTCTAGCCTGGGTTGTTACCACATTGTAATCACGGAAACATTTCCAAAGTATTAACTCATGGGTCAGCTATATTTGTCCAGAAGAGTTTATTTATTTTACAGCAATGAGAAGAGATTTAGTATTAGAAAAAATACCTATTTTTTGTCATTTGACTTGGTAAACAAATTTTGCTTTCAGTCTGTAAAAAAATTGTTTATTTAATACCAAGCATTGAGACATTCATCTTTTAGGAAGTTAGTAGCAAATAGTTAGATATAGGTATGTGTAAATGTATGTGTTTCCTTAAAAGCAAACAACTAGCTCCAGAAAACTATATTGTAAAACATTACTTCAAAGAAATAATATATAATTGGGTCACTAAGTCACTGTTTCAAATTATGCAAATATTGTATCCAATACTCTAAATAATGTTACTTGAAGATAGAAAAGAAAAACAACAAAGAGTTGCTTGGCAAATGGACAAAAGTTTTTTTCTTTTCCCCTTGATTAGCTGAACAGTGTGGCTACAATCCCAATTGTACACATTTGGGAATCATTCACTCAAAATTAAAGATATATACAAAAGATTTAGGAATAGATCTCATGCTTTTAATTTTGAATTATGGAGTTTTGCTTGGTTAAAAGAGACTAAATAATTTCGTAAAGATAAAATTTAAGAAGTCTTTGAAGTAAATATTGTTGTAAGTCCTAAGGCATTAAATGACATTTTGGATTCCAGGAACCAGTTCTTTTATTATCAGTAGAATTATGCACAGGATATGTTGCCGTCTAATTAAATTACTGTGAGTAGGAAACTAAACATTTTGAAAGTAGATTAATAGAATATGTTTTAAAAAGCAAACTTTTGGATACTTTGAGGAAATTATATTTTATTACACAGATATTCTGAATGAACTCATCCAGATAAATGCAGGAATTGTTTCTTTGCCCCACCTAGTGACTAAAATGATCACAGAAATTTAAGAAACTATTTTTGGTACTTTTAAATTGTGTTTACCAGTGCTAGAAATTAAGACAAATAAAATTATTGATTGTTTAATTATTTGAAACTTTTTATTTCTATGACATACTTGTAACAACTGCATATATTTACTTACATGAATCCTTCTGCAGTTGGACAACAAAGTAAAATTGATTAAATAATGAGCTCCGAATGTCATTCATAAATGAAAATAGGAATGTTGTTCCTCTAATTTGGATATTCATCTGTTCACACATGCACTCTTAGAAGCTGCTTTTACTTAGAAAGATATGGCTTTTTTGGTTGATTTATACATGCTTGAATATAATAGGAAGTTGGTCCTTGAAATAATCCATTCTTGAGAGCTCATGGAAGCAAAATAAAATGTGACTTATATTAAACATATGAAGAATTAGGACCACCCACCATTACTTCCTGGAATGTACAAAAAACTACAAGCCTTTATTAACTGGACAGTTTCCCCCCCTTAATTAGTGCCATCATCATTTCTGTTATTCATTCACTGCCATTAAAAGGGGTTCCTTAAATTACTATTTCTTATTATTCATAATAATACTATTCCTTATTATTTTTCACACATTTTTGTATATTGCAAGAATGACTTCTGTTAACAAATCAATGTTTCTGTTAAGTATGTTAAAATACTTAAAACATGCTTTTAATTAATGAAGGAATATAGAGAATCTGTGAAAAGAAATCCATCCTGTACATCTGTATTCGATGTATATATTCTGCAATCTCTTTTTTTTTTTTTTTCAGAGTATAATTGGTGTAGTGATTGGGAAAACAGATGCCAAAGGCTTTCCGGACAGAAAAAGTAAAGTGGGTTTTAAGTATCTTATTCTCAGTTTCCCAGGTTCTATCTTTCTGTCAGTGTCTTGACTAATTAAAAAAAATATGGTGCAATCTTTTCTGTACAAACTATGTTGAAATGACAATAGCTATTTCACAGCGCAACAAAGATGATAAGGGATCTGGAGGCTAAACTGAAATGTGAAAGGAGTTAGATATGTGTAGCCCAATGAAGAGAAGGATTAGGGATGACATGATAGCTGTCTTCTGGTACATAGGGGTCATCTTATTCACTTGAAGATAAGACAAGAAGCAATGGGTAGAAACCTATCAGAAGGAGATCCAACCTGGAAATAATGAGAAATTTCCTGACAGTGAGAACAATTAATCAATGGAACAGCTTGCCTTATCAGAGTTGTGAGTGCTCCACTGCTGGAAGTTCTCAAGAAAAGATTGGACAATTTGTCTGAGATGGAATAATGTCTCCTGCCTTGGGCAGGGGGTTGGACTAGAAGATCTCCAAGGTCCCTTCCAACCCTATGATTCAACTGGTGATAAGTTAAGGGGAGCAAGTTTCCCCTATATCCATCATTTTTGTTGATGTGTCTCTCAGTACTCTTAAGGATACTTACCTGTTCCTTAGTTCCTTAGCATTGGGCCTTTCCCTATTTTTGAAGCAATGAATATAAGCCAAATATTTATTCAATATAAGATTCAATACTAAAGCTCAGACTGGTTTCTTTTCCTAAAATTTTTGTTCCCGTTCCAGAGAAAGTTTTAAAAATATGGTGACCTCTGGTGGTATGAATGAGATTGTTCTGCAATATTTTCATTGTATATACCAGTAATTTCTCATCCATCAACATTTATAGTACAGGCAGTCATCAACTTATAACAGCTCGCTTAGTGACTGTTCAAAGTTACAGTGGCACTGAAAAAAGTGACTTATGACTATTTTTCACACTTATGACTGTTGCAGCATCCCCATGGTCATGTGATTTACATTCAAACATCTGGTGACTAACTCACATTTATGACAATTGCAGTGCCCCGTGTCATATGATTTCCTTTTGCAACCTTCTGACAAGCAAATTCAGTAGGAAAACCAGATTCACTTAACCTGTGTGTTACTAATTTAACAGCTGCAGTGATTCACTTAACCAGTGTGGCAAGACAAGTCATAAAATGGAGCAAAACTCACTGAACAAATTTCTCACTTGGCAACATAAATTTTGGGCTCAATTGTGGTTATACAAGGACTACCTATAACCTTGTGGTTATATCTATAACTACCTATAACCTTGTGGTTATACGAGGACTGTGTAGCATTTCTTCTTCTTTGCTCCTGCTGCTTGTATCTTAATTTCCCTGCTTTCTGATATATTATGTGTTTATATATAACAGAATGGACTTCTGAAACTGAAGTGCTGACAGTTCACACAAGCAACCAGTGTCTGGTACAGATGTCAGGCCCCAGAATTCAGTCTGATAATTGATTCAAAAACATTATTCATGGCATGGTTTAAGTTTTGTAATAGCAGACAAAATATCATCTATATACAGTATTATGTGTCTCACACCAAATTCAAATTTTAAATGGCTTTTTTAAATATACCCTTCTCTGCAGATATTGGATCAGAACGATATACTTTTTGTTTTACTGTTCGCGATTCCCCATCATGGTTCATAAATGTGAATTCCTGGGGAAGAGAGGACTATATTAAATCACTTTCAGAAAGTTTTAGACTTGGTGATTGTGGTAAGCTGGAATTTATTCTGAACATATTTCAATATGTTTTTCTCTTCCTTAAAGCAATATAATGTGGCTGTGATCTTAGTGTGTTTTACTTCAAGGAATTACAGAACTATTTAATTGGAACCAATTTTTTCAGTTAGACTAATTGAAAGAAGTCATATTCACATATTCTGATTAGTGAAGCTGTCATGAAGACATATAAACTTAGAACATAATTTCTCACATTCCTTAGATCATTATACTATGTTTTTACTCTTCTAAAATGTTTCACAACTTTAGAAGTAATTGGAGTCATCCCCTATGGTGAATGTGGGAATAGTCTAGTAATTCCCATTGACATAATGGGAAATATTTTTGAATAAAATACATGCATGGTATTATATGTTGCACAGCCTTTCTTTCATTTAATTATTTCCACTATAATAAATGAATCTTTAAAACATCCCCAGTGCTTCTCAATAAAATTTTATTATGTGAATCTGGAGATTTGAAATACAATTTAATATTATTTTTTATTATTTCTGGCAATTATTTTATGCATATATTAAGATCACTGCCAGCTCTGCCTAATTTTCTGTAAGGTTGAATAAAAGCTATTCCACACTTAGTTTATCTTAGCTGGTCACAAAAACCTAAGTCAGGCTAGATCTAGTTAATACTTGAATTCTGCAACAGAACCCCCAAGGCTGTAGGTTAGAGTGATTTTATTTTTTTAAGAAAATGACAAACAGCACTGATGGCAAATCACATCCTTGCGGTGGCTAAGAAAACTGCATGGATGTGGTTCCTGCAGTCACCAGGAGTTAAACCTGGTTCCAGAGCATCTTTATGATTTTCTCTCTCTTTCATTTGAACAATTAAACCAGGAGAGATAAACTTAATTCAGAAAAAAAAGAAATGCCATTTTCTCACATGTCGGCAGATATTTTGAGGATGGGATTGTTCAAAGATAAGATCTCTCTCCTTACCAAATTTTATTTGTATTGGAATCACTGCAAGGGGAAATTAAAAATTCTTACTCCAACCTGAATAATTTTAGTTGTTCAAAGATCAGCCAGAGATGTCTTCTTCACATCTTCAGTGAACTCTATTAATATGGTTGTCCTAATACTTATCCTAATTTTTCAATACTGTTGATAGCTGATATGAGCCTAAGGAAAGCATGAACAGGGTTGCCCCATATTGAAGGGGTTCCATATTGAGTTAAAAGTAGATAAAAGGTACAGTTTACCCATTCCTGATTTAATTGGTATAATCTGTGCAAAGTTACTATTGGACAGAAATTGGTAAACTAAATCTTCTAAATTTTAAAGTATTTCTAAAAAGCATGTGCAATTAAAAAGCCTATACTTCAATCATGCCGCTTTTCACTTTCTACATTATTTTGTATTCCAAGGTAAAAAGATACTATGCAGCACAAACATAGCATGTATCTGTATATCATTAAAGGTGCAGCATCTTTCCAGGACAGGCCAGTTGCCTTCTGCATACAGGATGTAGTATAATCCTGGGAAAAGATATGTTTGATTTAAGGAGCTGCAGTGTTGCAGGCAGGAGATACGTGTGCCAGATGTTATGATGTGGTGCACACAGCCTGCTTCTTTTATTTTCTTTTACTAACCATTTTTTCTGACTGAAAAGTAGGATATAATTCAAATCACTCACTCTGTAGATTCTACTTATAGGGCAAATGGTTAGGACTGGTTTGTAGGTATATCGGTCCACTTGTAAACTGTTATTTGAATTTTTTAAATCACAGTCATAATTGAAAATCCTCTAGTACAGACAAAAGAGGTAGAAAAAGAGGAAAAGTTCAACCCTACTACAACAAGGTAAATTAAAAAATAGAATTAATATGGTTGGAAAAGTTAGATTCCTGTTATCAGAAGATGCAGGTGATTATTACTGCACAATTATACAGGTAGCCCTCGACTTGCAACAGTTCATTTAGTGACCGTTCAAAGTTACAACTGCACTGAAAAAAGTGACTTATGACCATTTTTCACACTTATGGCCATTGCAGCATCCCCATGGTCACATGATCAAAGTTCAGAGGATTGGCAACTGACTCATACTTTTGACGGTTGCAGTCTCCTGGGGTCATGTGATCCCCTTTTGCAGCTTTCTGACAAGCAAAGCCAATGGGGAAGCCAGATTTGCTTAACCACTGGATGATTAACTTCACAAATGCAGTGCTTTACTTAACAATTGTGACAAGAGAAGTCATAAAGTGGGTCAAACTTAACAAATGTTTCACTTAGCAACATAAATTTTGCTCAATTGTGGTCATAACTCGAGAACTACCTGTATACAAGCTAAGGAAAATATTCTACATGAAAATTGTACATATCAGAACAGGCACAATGTACAGTGTAATTATTTTGGCTTCTGGTTTATTGGAGAAATGTAATTAACATTCAAATCAACGTACAGAGTATTTTTCTGTATTGTGGTAACAAAATGTTGTAGCAGTATTTTTTCTCCAAAGCACTGTGAGTAAAACTTGCCACACATAAGACAAAATCTTGAATAGTGCACCTACCTATATTCATCTTTTATCCCTATCCAAAAATAGTATAGTGTAATTTTATTTTCCATATTCAGAAAATAGACATAAAATATAGCCAAAGCAGAATGAGGTCAACCTATTCTCCAAAGCACTTGAGGGCAGGACATGGAATAATGGGTGGAAGATCATTAAAGAGATATCCAACCTAGAATTAAGGAGAAATTTTCTGACAGTGAGAACAATTAATCAATGGAATGGCTTGCCTTCATAAGTTCTGGGTGCTCCATCACTGGAGATTTTCAAGATGAGATAGGATAGGCCATGGCAATCATTTGTCCAAAATGATGTAGGGTCTCCTACTTGAGCAAGCGGGTTGGACTAAAAGACCTCCAAAGTACCTTTAAATTGTTATTCTTTGTTCTATGTCCTTTACATGTTGTGAATTTATGTGACATTTATGCAGTACTTCAGTGAATTACTTTGAAGAATAAATGTTAAAAAAATATCCTAATTATCATCTATATCTACAATAGGATTGGAAGCATTGTTTTATTTTGTTTTGTTTTGCTTTGTTCCAAGATAATCAGCAGCTGATGTTACCTTCTTCACAGTAAATGGCCTGGTAGGCAATTCAGGAAGCTGAGTATGGTTCTCAACCTGTGGTCTTTGAACCCGGGTGGGTGGGGGCACAAGTGATCACAGGGAGTCCAGAAAGGCTTTGAGAAATGTTGTGATTTAAGTTTTGGTACTCCGTGGCCATGGTCACTACAGTAAAACATTGGGTTTCCATCCAGGGTACAGAACTGCAGCCTAAAGGATCATCAGTTGGTAACTACAATGGATAACTGTACTTCTAAAAGATCCTCATGCATTCATAACAGATATGGGCTGTAAAAATTCTGATGAGATTTTTGCTCCTCATATATGATAGGTTTACATTGTTACAAAGCTTAACTATGGTACAAAGGACAATCTGCTTCCAGTAAACTTTTTTTTTAGTTTTAAATAAGTCAAAATCAATTTAGATGTCAGAAAAGTAATTGACAATTGCTATTTGCAATGGTTTAATCTGTCACTCATACAGTTTGATGCAACCAGTAGAGTATATATGTATTTAAAAGTTGTACAATGTTATGTGCCCACTTGTCAGCAGTTACAAACTATTGCTCAGTGAGAATCACTCTGTGGTCAGAATCTATGAAGCAGACACCAGACTACTGTCTCTGTTACATCTACCTGTAAAGAACCCTCAAGATTTTTACTCATTGGGGGATATTGTGGCCAATGGACAAAGCCTGGATGGAAAAATAATTAATGTCCTTGCTGCTATTAAATCAGTAAGTCATGCCAACTGTAACAATCAAAGAGAGCTCACATTGTAGCCTGAAAATGTAATGGATTTCTATATACAGGTAGATAAGAATTTACTGGGCCATAGAAGAACTGGGAGGAGAACTTAATGTGTTGCTCAGCAGTCCCTTTGCTTGATTTAGCACTAAAAGGTTAATGAATAACATCAATCAAATATTTTATAAACAATATTCTATAAAATCATCATGGATTTAAGATGCAGCCTCAGTAAGGTACTAAAGGTTATTTAAAATTTCTGCATAGGTTAATTAGTAATCATGAGGTTAAGTATTAATGCCAAATACAGCATTCAAATTAAGTTGCATCTCACCCTTGTACCTTTATCCATCCTTTCCTACATAATCCATGTAAACTCTTCTGCACAAACTGTATTGAAAAATACATAAGCTCCTATTAAATGCTAACATTAGAGATAAGGGGGAGAAATGGTATGAGAAATTTTAAACCATTCCTGTATTCATTTACTGAGTTTAAACTTTCCTTCAGCTGGACTTTGGTGGATGGAAAAAAAGTAAAGAACCCTTATATATGTGTGCCTATTGAAAGAGAGAGACAACGAGAGTAGATGGGGCATTAAGTATATGAGAAAATCTTGTTTTACTTAAAATATGCAGTTCTTTCCTTTCAAAGCTTTAACTGGTTGCTAACCATTTGAAGTAGTACTGTAGTTTTAACCATTCAATCATGTCTTGGTGATTTTATAGGCAAGTGCTCTCCATGCTACCTGTCAAACACAGCTTCTATCAGTTGTTGGATGTTCATCTATGATAGTATCAAACCAGCGAGTTAACCATTAATACTTCTTAGTAATAAGAATTACTATTTAGTAATAAGAATTACTAACAAATTCTATAGGAATTCTTATTGTTTTATAAGCGACAAAGTGAAACAAGAACACTTCATTTCCTATAGCAATATTCCACAATTTGATAATATTTCACAATTTGATAAGTTGTTCTCAGAAAATTGTGACTTTCTGAATAGAATAAACTCTACATTTATCCACCCACACACTAGTTACAACCAGTGCTGTTATAGCTTCATTCCTGCTGAAATGGGTTTACTTTTGAATAGTGGTAACATGAATATGAGAACATTTTCTATTTAAAAAAACAGATATAGATGGAATATTATGATCAAGATCAGGTTTTATTTTTATTTTTTTTCCTTTACAAAGGTTGGTGAACCAAAACATTTTGCTACTTCAGACAGGCGTAAAGGCCACAGGTGTGAAGTAAGGCTGTACGATGATAGTGAGTCTTCCTTTACAATGATATGGTAAGGACTGGTTGAAGCCATAACTCAGCTATATATGAATGAATACAAAACTATGAAGTCTGTAGAGATTCTCAGTCATCCAGGTCATGGTTGTCCCAAAGGTGCTTTTTCAGGAGGCAACTGGACTTTCTTGTTTTTCTTTTTGAAGATGTTTGGCTTCTCATCCAAGAAGCTTCTTCAGCTTCCCCACTATCCTGTCAGAGCTGAAGAAGCTCCTTGGATGAGAAGTGAAATGTCTTCAAAAGAAAAACAAAGTCCAGCTGCCTCTTGAAAAAGCAACTTTGGAAAAAACTACGAAGCCACAGTGAGTATAAATGCATACAATAATCACTAACCAAGCCTGCTAATTGTTTGACCTTTGTGAAATAGAGGATTCATTAAGGCATAAAATTCTTAGAGCTTTGAATATAGAAGCACCTTTCATTTGTGTTAATGCACCAGGAAGAGTTCTGCATCCAGAACTCTCTAAAGAGAAAGGGAGGTTTGCTGCTTTTAAATTTGAAAAAAAAAAAAAGGGTTTTAATTCTATTGTTTGCATACAAGTAAGGAAACTTACCGAGATGGAAATATGCAAGAAATGTTGGCAAGACAAAGGGGGCTGTAGTCCTGAGAAAAGAGATAACATTTGGAAGTGGCTCAGATAGACCCTTCCCTGATTCATTGGAGAATAAGAAGAGGTGGGGGAGACACAGCACAGACTTGCAAGATTCTGTTATAGGCCATCTCAATAAAAGTACCTCTAGCCTGCAATTAGTCAGTGGAACAGCTTGAGTCCTGGAGTTGTGGGTGCTCCATTGCTAGAGATTTTTTAAGAACGGACTGGATAACCATTTGTCCAGGATGGAATAAGGATTCCTGCCTTGCACAGAACAAATAGACCCCCAAGTTCCCTTCCAGCCCTACTCCTATTTCTCCTGCAGAGTTTATTTTTATTTTTTATTTATTTTATTTTGTCAAGCGATTATTAAATAACATGGTTATGAATACATGAAATGGATACGAATAAGAAATAAAAGAAACAATAGGACCGGGACAGTAGGCATGTTGGTGTGCTTATGCACGCCCCTTAATTAATAAAGTTGATTACCTACTTTGTTCTGTCTACCAGGGCTTACAACAAGATAATTGAGATTAACATTTTAGGAAAATGTGAGCTAAAGATGCAGCCTGGAGAGACAAAGAACATGTGCCTTCTATTCTGTTAGTATGACCAATTACTTCAGTCTTCAAATATATTGAGCTGATAGTTCACTAGCCTTAGGCTTCCTGGGTTGTTTGAGGGATGTGGAGAACTTTAGATTCAATTCCCAAAGGGGGCTTCAGAGCATATGGAGGCATGAACGCATCACCTGCCTATGACTGTTTTCAACAGATCCAGATATGTTCTATATTCATGTCTTCCATATGTTCAGAAGCAGCTTTTTAAAAGCATATCCAAAGTGCTGTACAGCTGTAATATTTTGAACCTCTTAAATCTAACCTGTCTGGCTGTGTCTTCCCATATGAAATCTTCTCTACCTATTGAGTAATAAGGGCATCTTCCCATACCAGATGAGTATGGGAAGATAAAAGAAAGGCTCTTTCTATTTGCTCTGGAATTCATTTAATAGGATAGCTCCTGACTGTGCAATTTTAGGAAATGAGGTAACAGAGAAATATCGGATCAAGTATTTGCTTTTTTATTTACTAGTTTTATTTATAGTATGTATATCCTTTTAATATTTGAATACTTCTCTAATAATATACAATCAAACGTTTTAAATAAATAAGTAATTATTTATATTAACCTAATGCTATTGTTTTCCCCAGCTGGGACAATGAATCTATCCAGTTTGCACAGAGCTGGGTACCCAAAGAAACAGGTATCATTTTTTTCATTTTTCTCAAACATTACCAGATCTTGTTAAAGTATCTAAAGTTTGCCTGGGATAACAAAACACATTGTATTTTCTTTTCTCAGTAATATTTGCATCTGATATAAGAATAAATTTTGACAAATTTAGAAACTGTATGATTGCAACTGTAATCTCAAAGACCATCATTACAATTAATCCTGGTAAGTAATTATTCTTAAGTTCTGTTTAAAGTATCATAAATGCCTTGTTCTAGTCATTTTAATGATCAGAAGGTTGGGAATTTAAAGTCAGTGGTTTGGATCTGAAATAAAACTTTCTATAAGTATAAATAATATATCATAAACAATTGTAGCTATGCATATACTATACAAGGATTTGACCTCCAACTTTTTTTTAAAGAAAACAAATTTAATAGAGATTCCCTGCTCAGTCTTATTTTTTCTTTTCTTTTTTTAAAATAATTTTTATTAAACATACAAAAAAGAAAAGACATTTAAAAACAACAATGAACATGTGTAAAATTAAAATAGAATTCAGACCCAAAATTTTTCTATTGCGAATTAATGTGGGGAATTATAGTAAAGATGTAGTATACTTAATAATTGATGTCACCACAGCTGCAAATATTAGCTTATGCCAAAACTGGAAAAATAACGAAATGCCAGATGAGATGGAAATAATTAGAAAAATTTGGATGTGCACCGATATGGATAAATTAACTCAAGAATTAAAAAATAAGACCGAATCTGATTATTATAAAATCTGGGAGAAGTTTTACCACCGGTTGAAAAAAAGGAAGGAACAACAATATCAAAAATGATTAAAGCTTATGTATATATGTAAATTTGTATTTTTTATATTTATTAATTAACTATGTAAGACAATCACTCTTATTTTTTCTTTATATAGCCATTTATAAATTCGAGGTTATAATGGCTCTGTTCCCCAATCGTCAGTATAACCCCATTTATAAAACTTTCATCTAAAATCCTCATGATATGTTATGGCATTGCACTTATTTACTTGTATTAATATTATATTGAAAAAAATATTTTTTCAAGATACAGCAGAAGCCAATATTTTATTCAACTTTATAAGACAAAGTCCAGAAATGTTAGACTTGGATGATGAAATGATAGATCAGTGGAGATCAGACTCCATAAATTGTGAGTGTTCTTTTAAATAGTCTGCTTTTTACACAATGATTGAGATCTTAGTTATCAGTTCTATCTTTTAAAGAGTAGCCACACCTTATAACTGATTGGAACTTTGCTTAAACAACTATTTGATCTATTTATATAAAAAAATCATACATCATGTTTTGGACAAATTGGAGAAATAATAGTTTTAAAATAAAGAATAATACAGGGATATATTCAGCCCCTGTAGTGTTGGCTAATGAATACAAGGTTAGGCCAGTCTGAGAAATCAGATCATATAAAAATAACAATTCTGGATTATATCCACAAATGAGGAAACGATTGTAAAATCCACTGAAATGGGTGAAAGTTTTCTAAATCACACAACATGCTAACCCAGAATATAATTAGTTTATGGCTTAGTACAGGTAGTCCTCAACATATCATAGTTCATTTAGTGACCATTCAAAGTTACAACGGCACTGAAAAAAGCAACTTATGACCGTGTTTCATAGTTACAACCTTTGCAGCATCCCCATGATGGTGTGATCAAAATTCAGATGCTTGGCAACAGGTTCAATACTTATGATCGTGGCTGTGTCCCAAGGTCATGTTGTGACCTTCTGACAAGCACAATCAATGGGGAAGCCAGATTCACTTAACAACTGAGTTACTAACTTTATCAACTGCAGTGATTCACTTAACAACTGAGGCAAGAAATGTCATAAAATGGGGGAAAACTCACTTTATGAATGTCTCACTTAACAACAAAAATACTGGGCTCAATTGTGGTCATAAGTTGAGGACTACCTGTATCATGTATGCATCTAGCCACTGTGATTTATAAATCATGGTTATTACATCATTTGGTTATTTTAGGAATTTTGGGGTCATTTAGAGAACCAGTTTGGTGTAGTGGTTAAAGTGGTGATTTAGAAACCAGGGGACTGAGTTCTATTCCTGCCGTAGGCATGAAGGCCAGCTGATTTGGGGCCAGTCTCTATCTCTCAGCTCAACCCACCTCATAGGGAGGTTGTTGTGGAGGAGATAGGAGGAGGAAAGTGTATTCTGTATGTTCCCTTCCTTGATTTACTTATAAGTAATAAAAGGAAGGATGAAAATGTAATAAATAAATAACATCACCCTGCTCTTAAGAGCCAACTGGCTTTACTATTCATATTTGAGTCTTTAGTATAAGTTCTGTTGTTTTCAGATGTGCTCCCCCCCCCCTTTTTTTTTTTAAATCTATAGTGCAGACAATAATTGACGTTTATACAGTGGAACAGTTAAAGATGAAAACTTTGCAAAATGGAGGAAAACCAGAACCATTTTATGGCATTATTTTTGCCTATATTTCTACATTGAATATTGATAATGAAGCAAGTAAAGTAATACGAAACAGATGGTAAGCACCTCGTTAAGGGGAACTGAGTAGCATTGTGGACATTTATTCTCTTTCAAATTAGCCTGGAAAACCATTGAATTTGTACATTGAAACAAACCCTTTTGGCCCTGCAATCTAACCCCCTGCTCAGGGCAGTAAGCCTAATTAAAGCATGCCTGCCAGATGGTTACCCAGCGTCTGCTTTAATCTATTCAGTGAAGTCTACTATCTCCTTTGATTATGGATTCAACTGTCAAACTGGTTTCCATTCATCAGTGTGCTTAATTTGAAAAAAAAAAAGCTGTCACAGAAAAATCCATTTGAAAACCAGTTAACTGTGTATACCTATTAATATGTTTCTTTCTTTTTTCCTTTGTAGTGTTAAATGCCACTATGTTATCAATGAAAAGACAAATACATGTTCTTTTTGTAGCAGCACTAACTCCTTAGATGCTGGCACTGTGCCAATGTTTGCCAGCTTTGATTTACTAGTTGACCTAACTGACCATACAGGAACTCTTCACTTTTGCAGTCTCTCCGATACAATAGCGGAAGAAACTTTAGGTCACACGGTAAGAACATAGGAAATAGTTTTCTACTTCCTGAATTTATTCTTTTAGGTTTGATATGCCAGTAAAAACCTTGGAATCTCTCATCAATGTTTGAGGCCAATTTGTTGGAAATTTGTGGATACCAAAAGGCTTGTAAGTCTGCTGCATTTAATAAAGTGGGCACTATTCAGTTAAAAGCTATTCCAGCTTAAATTTAATAAACTTTTATGATATCAAAAGGCTTCACTGTTAGCTATCACAAGTTAGATATCAAAAGACTTCATTTGAGCCAGTTTAGCTTAGTGGTGAAGGCACCAGGCTAGAAATCCAGAGACTGTGAATTCTGGTCTTAGCCATGAAAGCCAGCTAGGTAATTTCAGGCTGGTCACTTTGTTTCAGCCCAACCTACCTCACAGGGTTGTTTTTGGGAAAATAGGAAAGGTGTGTTGATATGTTCCCAAATTATTTCTAAAAATAATAAAGACAGGATGCAAACGAAGAGTTTTTTTGGGGGGGGTGGGTAAAAGTTTTATTGATTTTAACAACAAACAAAAACACATAAAACATAACATAAGACATAACATAAAAACATCATCATTCTTCATAAATTTGCGGATAGTGTATCGGTTGGTTTACCACTTTTTGTGCATCCATTTCATAGTCATCATAATTATATTACATAATAACTCATATTATCAATCAATAATTATATATCCTAATATCATTATTAAACAATCCTTTGACTATAATTTTACTAATTTATGCTTAAACGAGATAACTATAATTTAATTAATTTATTTTATAACAATTCATAAAATCATACCAAGTCTATCTTAATAAAATATTCTAAAAATATTATCAAAACCAAGAAAAAGTATATATTCATTATTTCCTAAATTTCTAAATATTCTATTATTATATTGTATTATCTAACCATTGATAAAAAAGATCCCAAACTTCATAAAATTGTTTATCTTCTTGTTCTCTAATTTCAAATGTCAATCTACTCATTTCAGCACATTCCAATATTTTCTTAATAATTTCTTCCTCTGCTGGTATTTTCTCACTCTTCCAATTTTTAGCAAATACAATCCTAGCCGCTGTTAATACATTTACAATCAAATACTTCAAATTTTTATTATATGTATCAGGTAAGATTCCCAATAAAAAAATCTCTGGTTTCAAATCTATATGTTTCTTTGTCATTTTTTCCAACCATATGCGAATTCTAGTCCAATATTTTCTAGCGTCCTCACAAGTCCACCACATATGGTAATATGAGCCAGGTATCTGATGACATTTCCAGCACTTTTCAGATTTATTCTTGAACATTCTTGCTATTCTTGTCGGGGGAGGATGCAAACGAAGAGTTTTGCTTCACATGTATTATGAGCATTCTATAGCAATCAATTGGATATAAATAATTTATTCCTGAGGTAGCATTTATATTGAAGTGATAATTACAGATGCTTAATAATTTTGATTCATTTTAATGTATTTTCTTTCCAGACAAATTAGGAAAATGGCCTTTACTGCTTTATTTGCCCTGCAGGAAATTTAGCTTTCTGATCACATTCTGGAGATGAACATTTTATTGTTGAATTATGTTTGATAGCAGACCTACTTGTAGTTTTAACAAACTGATCTTTGATCACTCCACTAGGTCCAAGAATTTCAAGCTTTGACAGAGACACAAAAGACAACATTAAAATGGCAACTCCTTCTAGAAAGAAGCAAAATTTATTTTAAGGTAAGTGTAATAAATAATAATAAAGCATGATTAACCAGTGGAACAGCTTGCCTCCAGAAATTGTGGGTACTCCATCACTGGAGGGTTCTAAGAAGAGACTGGACGGCCACTTGTCTGAAACAGTATAGTTTCTCCTGTTTGAACTAGAAGACCTCCAAGGTCCCTTCCAACTCTTCTCTTCTCCTTTTCTCTCCTCTCTTCTGAATTCTATTCTACTCTATTCTGTTGTATTCTATTCTAAATTCTATTCTATTTTCTATTTTCTTTACTATTCTATTCTATTTTCTTTTCTATTCTATTCTTTTCTATTCTATTTTTATTCTATTAAAATATAAAAGAGCCAGTTTGATGTAGTGATTAAGAAGCTGATCTAGAAACTAGAAGATTGAATTCTAGGCCTTCTTCAGCTGTGAAAGCCAGCTGGGTTTTGGCCATTCACTCATTCTCTCAGCCCAATCCCACTTCATGCAGGTTATTGTGGGGAAATAGGAGGCAGGAATATTAAGTATGTTTGCTGCTTTGATTTTATATATATCTAATAATAGAATAATAATAAAATAATAATCAAAGTGTGGATTGTGCAGAGGAAACAGTACATCATATAATGAGTTTGTAAAAACTGATTATAAAAAAAAAATCAGTCACCAAAATGATTCATTAGATCATCTGTAAAAATTATGTTCCAGCAGAGATAGTTCTCGACTTACGACCACAACTGAGTCCAAAATTTTTGTTGCTAAGTCAGACAGTTAACTGAGTTATGCCCCATTTTATGACCTTTCTTTCCATAATTGTTAAGTGAATCGCTACAACTATTAAGTTAATGACATGGTTATTAAGTGAATCTGGTTTCCTCGTTGACTTTGGTTGTCGGAAGGTCGCAAAAGGGGATCATGTGACCTTGGGACACTGCAACCATCATAAATATGAACCAGTTGCCAAGCATCTGAATTTTGATCATGTGACCATGGGGATGCTGCAACAGTCATGTGAAAAATAGTCATAAGTCACTTTTTTCAGTGGTGTTGTATCTTTCAATGGTCACTAAACAAATATTTGTAAGTTGAAGACTCTCAGTATGACATCCTGCAAAGAGCTTTGAGCCAACATCAGCTGTGATTCCACATTGTTGATTATAATTACACAGTAATACAGTCCTAAAGATACCACTATTTCTTACAACTTGACCAGTCTACTAACATCTCAAAATCTATGATCAGTTTCTCCCACTGAATGAAAACTTTGATCTGCAAGAAAAAGACATTTCTACAATATTTTGGAACCCAGTATCCAGAAACTTTAAAAACCAAAGATTTTTCTAAAAAACATGGAAGTACATAATATTTACAAATTACTAAATTCATGTGTGTAACTGCTCAAATATATTTTGTCAAGATTCTCTAGCAGCAAATGCTAGAGAAATACAACAAATGGAACAGAGGGTGCTTCCATGCTTTTCTAATAAATACTATTTATGAGACAGTCTACATAACGTAAAATGTTTAGCCTGTTAACCTAGAACTTGTGAAAAGAGGGGAAAACCTTTAAAAATTGTTTGTAAAAGTGGTGATTTGTACATTTACTCCCATAGGTTATTTTTTCTACCACAGCACGAACTGGGCTAAGAGTGAAACTGCTTTCTTGCAAGCTAGCAGATTCAGTGGAGGCTTCTCAAAACTTACCCGAAAAAGGAAAATAACTACATTGTGCATCTTTAGAACAATTGGAAGGAATTCTTATTTTATCATAGCATGGCGAAATGACATCTGTGGTAGGGAATGCAGACTCCATGCAAAGGCTTGTAAAATATACTTTTATTAAGGTGGCAAGATTTTATCTGGCTTTGAAGAGTTTAACTTTCCAATTTAGTTTTCCATTGTAATGTGGAAGGAATATATGTTTTCAATATTCTTCACAAGCATGTTTAATTTCAGATGACCTCAAAAAGGAAGGATATTCAGGATTTTTTGTGGTGAGAGATAGTTCAGTAGCTTAGAGTTTCAGCTGGGAGAGAAGCACCATCTACATGTGTTGCACAAACCACAAATTTATTACATGTAATGAAGGAGTATCTTATCTTAGCACTTTTCCATTTCCCCGCTTTAAGTGTTCAACAGGGAAAATATATCTATGACCTGTTTCAAAAATGCTAACTATATTTTGTTTCATAGATAACAGGCAAGTAGTATTATGAACTGACTGGCATTTATTCACAGAAGCAAAAAGACAAGTTTTGGGTTCATTTCAAAATGCTGTTAAAATCTCATCATATAAAATATATTTTTTAAACAATATAATTGGCTGCAAAATTCCTTCATTACTTGGTTTTAAGGAAGGTAGATTATAACTATAGGATACTAAGTGTTTTGTGGTCTTAAAAAAATATTTAGGCTTTTTATTTATAGCTACAGGCTGGCCTTTTCCAGACAAGCCAGGAATAGAAAATAGACAACCAATATAGCTTCTAAACTTGAGCTTGCCAAAAGGAAACAACCTGGATATCTTATCTGCAAGTCATAGCAAAAGGATTCAAGTGTTAAGGTCTGTTTAGCTGGCAACTGGTATATGTTTGTCAGCATATTGCTATATTCTGGTTTATCTTATATGGAAATAAAGTCACTTTATCTGGTACACAATAGGTTGGGATCTTTGTAGGTGGCACTCTGCACGAGAGAAGGACATATCATTGGAGACTCTCCTGAAAGCCTACTATTGGGGGGTGGGGAAGAAATCTGGCCCTTTGTACGACCCTCTTTTTTCTTCCAGAGAAAAGTCCCAAGGGTGGTTTTTCGTCTTCGAAGTGAAATGTCTTCAAGGAAAAAAACAAGAAAGTCCAGTTGATATTTTTGAAAAAGCACCTTTGGGACAACCCTGACCTGGATGATGGAGAATCTCCCTGGACGTTTCCAGAGAAAAGGATCTTCCACCCATCAGGGCCGGCTTTTCTGCCGCGCTACCTGAAAGCGTATGCTCAGCAGCCCCTCAATCCCGGCTTCTATTTCATCCTCCTCTTGCACAGCCGCAACTCCTTCGGGGGATCCCGTTAAGACGATATCCCCTTCTTCCAAGGTGACAATTCCGCTGATGTAGCTGATGAGGTACGGAATGGTGAAAATCATGCCGGACGTGTTCCCTTCTTGCCGTAACTCCCCGTTCACCTTTAGCCAGATCTTCAACCGATGCGGATCTGGGACTTTCTCCTTGGGCACAAAGTCGCTCACTGGACAGGAGGTATCGAATCCCTTGGCCAGAGTCCAAGGGAGCCCTTTCTTCTTGCACTCCTCCTGAGTATCCCTGGCTGTCATGTCCAGGCAGAGAGCGTAGCCTGCCACGTGACCCATGGCTGCTTCCTGAGGGACGGCCTGGCTTCTCTTCCCAATCACCACGCCCAGTTCCACCTCGTGGTGCAGCTTCTCGCAGTAGTAGGGCTGGATGATGGGGTGGCCTTCCCTGACGTAGGCCGAAGAGGGCTTGAGGAAGAAGAGCGGCTCAGCAGGGAGGGCATTCTTCAACTCCTTGGCATGGGCGGCGTAATTCCTTCCCACACAGAAGATGTTCTTGCCCCACTCCCAGAACCTGCCTATGGGCTTAGAGGAAGCCATGTTGCAGTTGTCAGCTCTTCAAACAGTCCACTCTGGAGGCAGCAGCTGTGGTGGAGCTTCACGTGAAGACCAACAGTTTCTCCACACAGCAGTCTGGATCCTGATTTCCAGTCTGGAGGGGGGAGGAAAATCAATAATTTATAGGGTTTGGGCATTTTTCCCATACAGCTTCATTTTTATTTTTATTCACTTAAAAGTTCTGCACCCAGGTCATATACAGGTAGTCCTCGACTTTCAGCAGTTCGTTTAGTGACCGTTCAAAGTGACACTGAAAATTGTGGCTCATGCCCGTTTTTCAAAAGTTACGACCTTTGCAGCATCTCCATGATCACATCAAAATTCAGAGACTTGGCAACTGGTTCATTTTTATGACGGTTACAGCATCCTGGGGTCACGTGATCCCCTTTTGTGACAAGCAAAGTCAACAGGGAAGCCACATTCACTTAACAACCAGGTTACTAACCGATCAACTGCAGTGATTCACTTAGCAACTGTAGCAAGACAGGTTGTAAAATTGGGCAAAACTCACTGAACAAACATCTCATTTAGCAACAGAAATGTTGGGCTCAGTTGTGGTCGTAAGTCGAGGACTACCTGTATTTCTTTGCTAGTTTACACAGTGGACAAATTAGAAAAAAAACTCAAGCTGGCCTGCATTAAAAACGAAACCAAAGCAATCCGAATGCCAGAGGTACAAAATGAAATGATGCTCTGACCACGAGAGGCATGCTGTGGGCCCCACAGGGGAAAAGAGTGCATAGTTTTGGATCCAGAAAGTGTGCTGATTCTGTGCCAGCACCTGCTTTTTGGACACCAATCCCCCCCCCCCCCCCCCGGATTAAATTTGCCCTGACCCTGATGATTCTTTGGGAACGTGAAGACTTGGATGTCTTCTTGGCCAGGAGGGGTCAAACTCTTAGCTGGAGCCTGTGAGGTTGTTTTAAAGGCCAGCACAGATGGGCCAAACAACAGATAGGTGGTCCTAGGGCTGTGATGGCATATGTGCCAGAAGTGGCATGCAGAGCCATTTCTGCCGGCACACAAGCCTAGGGTTTTCGAATCTTTTCAGCTGGGGAACCTGTCTGGAACCCCTGATCAAGGTCTAATAACAGAAAATGTGCTTTATTCAAGGGTTGGGTTTTGGGGGGTGGGTGGGTTGGTTGTTGTTTTGCCGTCCTTAGCCCCTAATGAAACCCTATCTTGCAAAACTCTAGAGGTCCATGGGACACAGTTTAAAAACCCCTCTATACATAACCAGAACAAGTTCATTCCTTGTCTTTTTGAAACTTAAAGTCATCTAGGAAAGCAGGAATACGGATGAAATCCAGGTTTCTGCTGCTTCATGGTACATCTTATTATTCAGCAACTGCCTTCTCTCATCTGAATTTGCAGAATAACCATCCTAATCGCTGCTTCTGGCAGAAATGAACACTGCTAAAAGGGGGTGGATAACAGTAATACAATAATACTAATAACATAATTATCCTTTCGCTCTTATTTTTCATTTTCTGAAAAAAAAATATTATTTTGAAGCAAGAAAAAAGCCTCCAAACGTTGAGATTGAACTCTGCTCCTCAAGAGAGCCTTCCCGCATTTGGTCACTGATTAACTATTCTTATTGGGTCAGTTTGGACTCAGATTCTCTGGAAAGCCGCCCTATTTCAGCATCTATTGAAAACCTCAGCCTGATGTAAAATTGCAGAAGAAAACCCACCCAGATTTTGCAGAGCTTATTACCAAGAAAAGGAGGAAGCGGGGACTGACTCCCTGCCCAGGCAAGGGAACATCTGTGTGGGGCTCGACCCCAGCAAGTCTGGCTCCCGCACTCACCTTCTGCTCAGCCAGAGGCTTCATTTCCAGAATAAAAAAGAACAGAGCAGAATATAGAATAGAATTAAATATAGAATAGAATGTAGAATAAGAATGGAAAACAGCAATAGCCCTTAGACTTATATACCGCTTCACAGTGTTTTCCATCCCTCTCTAAGCGGTTTACAGAGTCAGCCTTTTGCCCCCAACAATCTGGATCCTCATTTGACCCACCTCGGAAGGAGGGAAGGCTGAGTCAATCTTGAGCTGGTCAGGATTGAACTGCTGGCAGTCAGCAGAGTTAGCCTGCAATACTGCATTCTAACTATGGCGCACCATGGATAGAAGGAAGGAAGGAAGGAAGGAAGGAAGGAAGGAAGGAAGGAAGGAAGGAAGGAAGGAAAGAGAGAGAGAGAGAGAGAGAGAAAGAGAGAGAGAGAGAGAGAAAGAAAGAAAGAAAGAAAGAAAGAAAGAAAGAAAGAAAGAAAGAAAGAAAGAAAGAAAGAAAGAAAGAAAGAAAGGCAACTGCACTTAGACTTTTATACTGCTTCACAGTGCTTTACAGTCCTCTCTAAGCAGTTTACAGAGTCAACCTCTTTCCCCCAATAATCTGGGTCCTCGTTTTACCCACCTTGGAAGGACGGAAGACTGAGTCAAACTTGAGCCTGGTGGGATTTGAACTTCTGGCAGTGAGCAGAGTCAGCCTGAAATCCTGCATTCTAACCACTGAACCACCACAGCAAGAGAAAGAGATAGATAGATAGATAGATAGATAGATAGATAGATAGATAGATAGA